ACATTCTATAATTAAGTTAAACCAAAGTTTTTGTTTTATTAATGTGTTACGTAGTTCTATGTGCTGTAGTTCTATGTGCTGTAGTTTGCAAACCAGACCTGATCTAGCGCATTCTGAGATGTTATGGTATCATCCAATTTATTTTGTTCATTGGATTATAATTTAACACAGATATTCCTCACTTAATGACTATTCATTTAGCAATTATTTGAAGCTACAATAGTGTTGAACCAAGGGACTTACAATGGGTCCTTGAAATTCTGGCCATCTTAATACCCTCACATCAGATGAATAAAATTTGGGTCCACCCTCATTTATGGCCATCCCACCTGCTACTGTGCATCTCCCACTCCCAGCTGACCTTCACTGTCATCTTGCTATCCCTCTGCACCATCTAGTCACACATGGGGCACCATGGAAATCTCATGCAGGATGATGTATGAAAGCTATAGGTGAGCAGCTGTACATCAGACTGCACATTACAGGCCACTACCAGCCAGGTCTTTTTTGTGTGTGCGGCTTAGTCTTTTTGTAAAAGAAAGATCTGGCTGGCACATGAAAGAAACCTGGTGTGAAAACGATGTGCAGTGTGAAGGGCACGAGATAGCAGGCAGGGCTGAGTAATGGGGGCAACTTGCTGCAAGTGGATGGCCAAAAGGGCAGAGTTGTGGGAGAGATAGATGGATGGGGAAGATGGAGGCAGTGCCTTACCAAGAATGGCTTGGATCCATGTCCTTGCTAATGACTGTATGGATCCACTCAATAATAGTAACCGGGATTGCTGAAACCGCCACTGCTAAGCAAAACAATAGAGTGACATTTAACTTAACAACTTCTTCACTTAGCAATAGATGGCCAGTCCCAAATAGGATTATTAAGTGAGGACTGGCTGTACCAGAGGATTAGAGTTATTATGAATGTATTTGTCTCTCAGTCTATCAAGTTATATAGTAGCACTCACTATACATTGTTTAAAACAATCAGTCTTCACAGTGGTTCTGAATTATTGACTTTTTTTTTTAGACAATTGTATGGAATTAGCATGTGATAGCACTCGATACCAAATATAACTTGTTCTGACATGCTACTGATATTGTGGCTAGGTTTGATAATTATACTATGTCATTACCGAAACTTATTGAGGTGGCACAGCAATATGGTACATTCTCTGATTATATTGTTAATAGGAACAAATGTAATCTAGCAATATACTAACATGAACTAACCAGATAGTGTGATCTAGATGGTCAAGTAACCATAGGAATACCTATAATTTTGGGATTCTTAAGAAATGTAATGGTTGAACACAAACCAACTGTTCAACCATATTTATAATTTAAAAAGTAAAATGCAAGTTATATAACTTACATAGCTGAATGTTAGAATTGAGAACTAGAATATCCCATTTTGAAGAATGAATTCATCCAGATGTTAAACGAGAAATACTCTCATAATGTAAAAATGAACATAATTCTTTTCAAAATAATTTTATGCAAATAGAAAAAAACTTACCCTACTGGTTATAAGGATTGGATCCAGGTATGAATTTGTTAATTATCTTTGAAGAGTGTTCTAAAAATGAGAAGATAAAATAATATGTTTCTGTGTGGTCTACATTTAATGTTAACTTTGAATTAATTTTATAACACTATCAATAGTTATTATATAATAATCAGAGGTCCCCAAACTTTTGGGCATCAGGGACCGATTACATGAAGAGAGGTTTTCCACGGATCGGAGGGGGCATGGTTTTGTGTGCTGCCTACATCCTGTGGATGGAGCTTTCCTTTTTTGTGCGGACCAGTTGCTGGCATGCCATAGCCCAGTACTGATATAGTTCTTTTCTCTCCCTTTTCTCTTAAGTTTTTCCCCTTTGTCATGTTTATCATTCTAATATATCCATGTTTTCCCCTTCCCTGTATAAGCAACATTTATCTTTTTTCCTTTTTTAGCACAATACTTTTTGGAGTTCAGTTAACACATATACCCCCTTGCAAGATCTCGTCTGAATTGCAGATCTTAAACGACTAAACATTTGGCAATGTCCCAGCACAGAATCAACGAGGTATGCTTGTGTCCAGAAGTTAATTCCTAATTACACTGAAAGGCGCAGATTCCTGCTTACATTATTAAAAGTGGTGTCGCTATTAAAGGACCGCAAAGATGACCTTCATCCATCATTGTGACACAATCCTCCTAACCCATCTTTTCTTAGAAATATATTTAGTCAGACTTAACTCTTTCCCACCTCTCTAATACAAATCTTAAGTGACGTGTGACATTTTGCACAGAAGAACGCGATTCTATTCACGTGGCCGTTTGCTGGTATCAGCCTCACTCAGCGTTGGGAGCAACTCGGGGCGAGTTAAATCCAGATCTAATCACGACTCCGTCTTTTGCCAAAGAATCCTGGGAGGGCTGATCCCACCTCGCCTTCTTGTTGTACCACCCTGCCATTCCCTCGCCTCCTCATAAGTCTGTCCGAACCGTTTCCTGTAAAGAGCCCCGGGAGGTGGCGTGGCCATAACCATACTCACGTTGCCCAAAACCGGGGTTTCCGCGTCCGGGTCGCTGCCGCCGACGCCGCCAACGAACCGATCGCGGGGTGGGCCTATTACCGATCTCAGAATAGCGGCCGCCTCGTCTGATCTGAATCTGAAGCCATGGCACTCTGGTGTCGGCCTCGCTGTTGCTGCTGTTCATGCGCCGCTTCGTCCCGGACGGCCAGACTCTTCAGCAGCTTGCGAAGCTGCAGTTTGGACAGCAGCAGCAACGGCGGCGGCGGCGGCGGCACTAAGCAGCAGCCGGGCGATGGACTGGTGGCGCCGATGCTGAAGACTGCCGTAAGTAGTGCTGCACTTGGGGCGATTGGAGGTCACGAAGGGAATGAATGGGCGCAGCGATCCCTGGCACCGGCGGAGGAGCCGATCCCGGGGAGAGCTCAAAGCGCGGGTGAAGGAAGGAGCTGCACCAAGAAGCGGGCGGGGGAGGGGGGAAAGCGCCTTTGTAAGCCTAGATGCAGCCCAGCGCTTGCAAAGCAATGGTTTCTGCTAAGACGAGCCACCGAAGCGACGTTTACCGACCCCGATCCCCTGAGATATGGGGCGACTGTAATACCCCGGGACCCCTTGTCGCTTGTGGGGATGGTATTCTTAAGAAATGACGAGGGGAGGAAGAGAAAACGAGGAGCGGAAAAGGAAGCGTTTTCCAAGCCTGGCGCGTTGAATAAGGAAGTTAGTTAGCCAAGCGCCTTACCCGGCTAGTGCGCTGCAGAGGGGTCGGGGAGCAGCTGACAAGAGATGTTGCCTGGGACATTTGGAGGGCACCGGATGGCAGATAATGACTGGGATTTGCAGAAGAGCAAAGAAAGAAGGGTTGCAGAGCCAATAAGCACAAGCTAGAGAAAAGAAAATACATTATTTCCTGCTGCATAATCCTATTAGGGTGTAAGACTGCAGCAAGATCTGGTTTGCTTCTCTTGGAGGTGTCTTAAAAGGCTTACAAATTAAAAATATTAAATAATCTGCCAGTGGGCATTATTCTCAACGGCCCATACTGGCTGGTAAATACGAGGCATGGATATTAGGCACGCTTATCGCCACGAGTTGGTTAAAATATAAAAAAGTGGGATAAAAAGTATTGTTGTTGCTCCAACACACACCTAAGTTTGAGAAAACTAGCTGTCTTTCAACCAGATTAATCATTTCACAAGTTACTGTACTGTGCAAGATGTCAGAGATGAAATGGGCTTTTTGGTTTGTTTGTTTTGCTCAGCCCACTGCATTTCGTTTTTAGATATCTGAACCCATTTTCACAATACTTGTTAAAACAATTCCTTCAGGAGAAATTATGGGAAGAGTTCAAGAGTAATCTAAAACAAAAAACAAAGAAATGAATAGATGTAATCTAAACATTTCCTTACCAGGCTTGGTAATTAAACGTTTGAAAACCAACCGACAAGCTTGGAGAATGAACCTTTACCCACATCCTACACCTGAACTACAGATATTCGCCATTATTGCAGACTTAATCTAGTAATGTTCTTTACAAAGTTTTCCAAATGAAAGAAATTCATTATGCTTCTCTGCCTTATCTTCTACTGTTGCTAAAGCTCATTAAAACAAATCCAGGGAACTTTCCTCCCCAATTATGTGTATGTGGGCCACTTGTATGCTACTCAATATCTCTACAGAAAAGTGGATATAAGGGGAAAAATCTGTGGAATGCTGATTTGTTTGTTTGCTGAGCTTCAAATACCCTATGCATATAAATTGTTTAATAAACCCCACTGACCTCTTAATCCAGATGGAGTTACTTAGGAATTCTAATCTTGTTCAGTCAACTAGCCTCATTCTATCTTGTTCCCTTTTCATATTTTGCAATGAAAAATGCCTTGTCATAAAGGTGACATAAAGATTTGCTCCTGTTCCTCCCACTTGTGGCACTTACTCACCTGCTCTCATGGCTTCTGCACACAACATCCACCCACTCAACCTCAATATTTAACCACCAACTTGCTTGCCTGGGGCTTCCATTTCTTCCCATGTCACATTCATTTAAAGCAGGCATGTCAAAGTCGCGACGTCACATGACATCGCGCAACATATCGGCCGATTTTGCCATTGCCGGCAATGGGGTGGGCATGGCTTCCACGTGACGCATCCGGCCCGCGGGCCGGCAGTTTGACACCCCGATTTAAAGTCTTCACTTAACCAATGTGGTCCTGGGATTATGACGGCAACTGGAACTTTCAGGATTACTGTCGCTAAGTGATATAGTCATGTGTCATGTTGCACGTTACAACCGTATCATTTAGCAACAGAAATTTTGATTCCAATTGCCACTGTAACCCGAGGAGAATCCGTAGTAACTTTTGTAACCCTATCTTAATTCTGCATAAAGTAGTTCTTTAAAAAGTGGATTATAAATAAATATCCTTTTTTTTTCTTTCTGCAGAAATCTAGTTTTTTAGGGGAAAGACTGCGTCTATTTTTTCCAAAAATGTATAGTATATGTTGGCGGTAAGTTGAAAGCTTTCTACTGTATACGTTATAAAAATAGTCATACTAAAGTAGGTAACTTCAGTATCTTTTAAAGTTTGACTGTGAAGGATGCAACAGTGAGATATTAAATTGCATGCATCGTAATATTTAGTCTTTTTCCCTGTCTTTTGACAGCTACACAAATTAAATATTCAGTATAAACCATTAAATTGATATATAAGACCTTTTGAGAATCATCATGTAAGCGAGTTAATACAGCAGCTGAAGTCACGAGAGCAAATATTCTCATCTATTAAATTTCAAATTAAAATGAAAATTAAAATAGCCAGAATCACATAGGAAATTGTATGAAATGTGATGTTTCTGCCTGAAATTTTACAAAATATTGAGTGAGGAAGATTAAAATCTTGCGAACCCTGGCTATTATTTTGGTTATTATGTATATGATATACACATATGTATATGTATGCAAACCGGTAATATAAGGTACTTCATGGTGATTTACTGCTATTAGTATGCATCACCAAACATAAGAAATTAATGCAGTGGAAACAGTGACTATAATTCCGTATCTTATATAGCATGTAGCTTGGTGCTAGATTTTTTTGCTCTCCTGTTTTAGAGGAAAGAAAATAGCCATGTAGAATGGAGTGCTTTTTTTCCATTTAATTCAACACAACATAACAACTTTTGCTTTATTCTCCATATGCATGCCCACACAAAGGTACAATATTTATTTTATGTATATATCAGATTTAGAAACTATGTCCTTCACAGAGATAATAACCTAGTACTATTGAATAAAATGCCTAAGCTATTTTTCCTTGATTTTTGATAACTTTATAGATCCAAACAGCTAGTCTTTTTCTATGATGTGGCTAATGCAAGATAGGAGTATGAGACTCAAAAACTAGTAACTTTGCTGGATGGGAAAATAATTGCTTGGGTGCTTAATGCAAGCTTGGGTGCTTATTGCAAGCGCAAGATCCACCCAAGATCTCCAAACCTAATGATTTTAGAAAACATACGTCCTTCTTGCTTCTCAGTATTGACTGAATAATAGATAGATAACATTTATGAATAATGTTTATTAACTTTGTAGATTAGCTTGAAGAATTATTTCCTTTTGTGTATTTTCTTTTAAAAATTCAATTATTCAGGATAACAATAGAGTTATCCTTCTGGGCAGGGATGACCAAATTGCCTCAGTTACAGGGATTATGTTAATATTTTATTTCTTCCCCAAAAAGTTTTGCTAGGTTTCAACATACAACAGTGCAAACTCATTGGTTTGGTAAAGCAGTCAGCGATGAACAATACAAAGATCCTTTTAAACTTGGAGGGAAAGACCTGAAAAATCTCTATGAGGATATTAAAAAGGTAAATATGTTTTTGGTGAGCTAGGGTGAAAAGCTCTAATACAGTGGTGGCGAACCTATGGCACGGGTGCCAGAGGCGTCACTCAGAGCCCTCTCTGGGCACGCGTGCTGTCGACCCAGTCCTAGGCCTTTAGCTGGGTTTTATAAAACCTTTTCGCTTTAGGCCTCCGCCACTGTGTGCAAAAAAAAAAAGGTTCAATCAGTCAATTTCAACTTCTCGCGGGAAAAAAAAAGATCTTGCAAAGTTGGAATTGATTGATTGAACTTTTTAGTCCCACCCAGTCTGTCGTTACCACTACAGCCACGCCCACCCAATGGGCCACAGCCAGCCAATGGGCACGCCCACCCAATGGGCCACATTCACCCGGCACTCGACGACGCATAAGTGGGTTTTGGGTTGCAGTTTGGGCACTCGGTCTCTAAAAGGTTCACCATCACTGCTCTAAGAGATCATTCTTTAGATGGGACTTTACTGTCATAAAGCAAGTCTAGATTTGCAGATATAGAACAGACTTTGTTTGCCTTTCTGCAGGAATTACGGATTTCTACTACAGAACTTAAAGAAATGTGTGATTATTACTTTGATGGTAAAGGGAAAGCCTTTCGACCAATTATTGTGGCACTAATGGCCAGAGCATGTAATTTTCATCATAACAATTCTGGGTAAATATCTTTTATTTTTGAACTATTACAGTTAAGATTTGTTCCCATACAAAAGCAAATAGTGACAATAAGATTTAGCAGATATTCAATCTTGTATTTAATGGATGTCTCTTATTTAGAATAAGAGAAAATAATTTCTCACTACGTACATTCCCTGCGCTACTGTGCCGAGTTACAATATTTAATGTTATACTTCCTCTTCTATATTCAATATAAAATTAATTTCATTATAAACTTACCGAACTCTAAAATATTACTCATGGATACTATTTCATTATTAGCAGGGCAAATGTTAGTAAATTGGCAAGTTGAAACATGCCTATTTGCCATGTGATGTGATGTAGTAATAATAATAATAATAATAATAATAATAATAATAATAATAATAATAATAAAAAACTTAGAAGGGACTTTGGAGATCATCTAGTCCAACCCCCTGCTCAGGCAGGAAACCCTATACCATTTCAGACAAATGGCTGTCCAGTCTCTTCTTAAAAACTTCCAGTGTTGGAGTATTCACCACTTCTGGAGGCAGGTTGTTCCACTGGTTAATTGTTCTAACTGTCAGGAAGTTTCTCCTTAGTTCTAGGTTGCTTCTCTCCTTGATTAGTTTCCATCCGTTGCTTCTTGTCCTGCCTTCAAGCACCTTGGAAAATAGCTTGACTCCCTCTTCTTTGTGGCATCCCCTGAGATATTGGAATACTGCTATCATGTCCCCCCTCGTCCTTCTCTTCATTAAACTAGACATACCCAATTCCAGCAACCGTTCCTTATATGCTTTAGCCTCCAGTCCCCTAATCATCTTTGTTGCTCTTCTCTGTACTCTTTCTAGAGTCTCAACATCTTTTTTACATCGTGGTGACCAAAACTGGATGCAGTATTCCAAGTGTGGCCTTATTATTTCATTATTAGCAGGGCAAATGTTAGTAAATGTAGAGGTGGATAATTGATTTCAAAACTGTTTATGTGAGGCAAGGTTGAGGAAAGTAGAAGAATGGAAAGGCAGTTGTTAAGGTCAATGGATAAGTTCAAAGAAAAGCTATGTATTATTACAGAAAATAACGATGTGGCAAGAATTTGCATGGTCTCCAAAATTCTTGAATCTGACTAGATATCACCTGTCTTTTTCTGTATTGTTCAAGCTATTCTAACAGGGTTGACATGCTACATTTTTCTTATCCTCTTCCCACGTCTCAATCTTAGAGAAGTGAAGGCAAGCCAGCGCTCCGTAGCATTAATTGCAGAAATGATCCATACCGCAACACTAGTTCATGATGATGTAATTGATGATGCTAATTCAAGAAGAGGAAAAGTTACTGTTAATCAGATCTGGGGGGAAAGGAAGGCAAGTATTTTTTCTTAACTATAGAAAGTATTGTTGATGTGGCAATGCTACTTGAGTTATCTGCTATTTTAATCTGCATGACACAAAATGCAGCAATACAGCATAAGAAAGAAAGAAATATATGTCCAAAGAAAAGCCCAGAGAAAAATCAACAATCAGCGAAATACGTAAAGTATCCCAGAAGGATTGTTGATTGTTGATAAGCCCAGAAGTCTCTAACTAGGGACTGGGAAAGAAACAAGATCACAGCAGCTTGATTGAAGAGGATTAGGGAGGAAAGTGAAATAATTAAAAGCAGATATTAATTTTTGTTTTTTGAAGAAAGACAACTCTAGGTCTTGCTTGATGCCGAAGTATTTCAGTTAAGCTTTGAATATGCGGTTGACACTCCCACAAACATATATAAGGGAATTCAGTGCAAACATATATAAGGGAATTCAGTGTTCTTAGCTATGTGCAGATAATAGGTGTTGATATAATTTAATATAAAGAAACTTCCTCTTGGTAGAAGATAAGAGTGGCACCTCAACCCTGTTATTGAATTTTCTCAAGACAAAGGAACTAGATGAAGTTTCTAGGAGTATAAAGCACTGTTTCTCAACCTTAGCAACTTTAAGATGTATGGACTTCAACTTCCAGAATTCCTTTCCAATCTCTCATTGTCTTATCACTCTGGCAAACCTATTCTAAATTTGAATTATGAAAATATTTTATATAACTGAGAAAAAATATAAAGTGTGTAAAGTTCTTTGTAATTGCATTTCTGATATTGCCTTCCAGATTTATTTGTTGGTAAGTTCTCTGATTTGCATTAAAAAATGGTATGCAAATCTGTAAATTGAATAATGGTGCCAAATAGAGTATTTTAAAATCAGTTATTCTTTTCCAGGCAGTCTTAGCTGGTGATTTCATCCTTTCTACAGCATCTTTAGTTTTAGCACGTATTGGGAACACAACTGTCCTTTCTATAATAACGCAAGTGATTGAAGATCTGGTGCGTGGTAAGGCTTTTTAGCAACATACCTAAAAATAACAGAATTTTCATTTCCTTGGCAGTTAGTTGCTAACACTATTGATCTTTTTTACCTCTTACAGGTGAATTTCTTCAGCTGGGTTCCAAAGAAAATGAAAATGAGAGATTTTCTCACTACCTCGAAAAAACTTTTAAGAAGACTGCAAGTCTTATAGCACACAGCTGTAAAGCAGTATGTACGTTCCATCTTTTCTGTTAATTTATCTTAATGTGTGGAGGAGAGACAGATTAGGAATTAGAAGATTGATCCATTTTTTCAACAAGCTTATGAATATAAAGGTTTTGACAAAATGGCTGCAGTGATATCTTTGGTCCATTTTCCAGAGAGAAAAATTGAGAGAAAATAACAACCAATACATTAAGCCTAATGAAAAAATGGGAGCTGAATTCAAAACACCAGTTATGATGAACGTAATTTTCTATTTCATCAGTTTCAGAGAAGGCATTGAAATAATTTGGTTGAGCAAATAATGGTTTTACAGTTGTAGTGCTATCTAGGTGTTACTTAGCACTTCAGCAAATGGAATTCTTTGAAGTTTCTTTAATTTGCCTTGTGCTGCATTATTTCAGGTGACTCCAAGAAGACAGCAGAAATACTAAACAGATATTCCCAATCTTTTTTTAATGCATGTCATAATAAAAAAGGAATCCGTTATATAAGCCAGGGTTTAAGAAACACCACACAGCACCTTAAAAGATTACAGATTACACTAAACATTGCCGGCAATGAGAGACCATATATGGGCAAACTAATGGATGGAGGCTCAGTCCTGCCTTGTTGATCATAGGCATTCCTAATCTAGAATTAAATATAAGCCCTGTACCAGATGAAAAATCAGTATTAGATGAGGATAGAACTTGGACTATAAATCCTTAAACCAATAGTATGCTTGGAAAGTGAGGTCCTGGTAGAAAGCACCATTTTTTTCTTGCATTCTTGGGAAGGATCTGGCCAGAGGGATTCATATCTTAGTGAATTCTGGATAGGGTTTATCATCAAAAATAGAGCAAGTGCAAATATTTTTCAGAAGTGTTCTTCATAGAGCAGATTGCACAGTTTTGGAATAAGTTAGAAGATTCTACTTTATTTTACAAGTAAAGTTTAAAGTGCTAGTTTAAAGCCAAAAGATTTGGCACCCTAAAAACATAATGCCCAGCATCCATCATATTAACTCTTCTGTAATATAACATAGGTTTTTGCCCTGTTGGTTATTTTCTGATTATATATCAACTTAGCTGTCTGATAAAGAATATTATTAGAAAAGTTAATAAAACTAATGGTTAATGATGGGTCTCTCAGCATTTGTTATAGTTTCTCTTTATATTACAATGAAATTTGATGATGACTGTAAAACTAACAAATCATTTTGCAACCATAATCTTATTATATGTGTTAGCCTCTGTGTTTGCAGTTATATGTATGTGCAAATATAATAAATATTTCAAAGTTAATCCATTTTTGGATATGAAGATATCTCTATCTCTCGTCGATCTATCTGATCCCAAAACTCTTCAGATCTTTGGACAGAATGAAGTTATTGATGTCTGCTTCTCTGTTGGTGCATTGTTGACACATATGAATAATGGGAAATAACCAGAGATTCTGTTCTTTTTTCCTTTTCAGGTTTCTGTACTAAGCTGCCCTGATCCCAAAGTTCATGAAATTGCATATCTGTATGGAAAAAACCTTGGGATAGCATTTCAGGTAACATATAACGATGACTTAAAGACACAGAATTTTTAATCAATCAAAAGGGGGAGGTTTGGTAACATTTATACAAGTATGCTTTACTTAGATCCTTGTAAGGATATCTTGTAAACTTTGTATTGTATATTCTTTGTTTACTGTAGCTAGTAGATGATGTGCTGGATTTTACATCATGTTCTGAACAGCTAGGAAAGCCTGCATCAGCGGATCTTAAACTTGGAATAGCCACTGGACCTGTCTTATTTGCTTGCCAGCAGGTATAAACAACAGAGACTCTACTTTCTTCCCAAGATATTACACGTTTAGTTGAGTTTTATTCATGCTAAAATTAAAAAGTATTGTTGTGTATGCATGCTTTGAAGAAAAATAAGGAAGATGCTTAAAGGAAGGAAAGGTAGCCTCTACAGATGCTTTTCAAATTAGAAGCAATAACTCAGAATAATACCAACCCTTAACTGATTTCTTATTATCCTAAGTCAAATTAGCAACAAAAGGCATGATTAAATTTATTGACTGGATCGTTAAAAGTTAAAGGTAGATATCTGTTTGGGTTTGAATGTGCCAAGATTTTACATAGTTGGAAGTTGGATATAACCTTTATATTAATTGGGGGAGGGGTTCAGTGTCTGATTCTTGGGGGAGGGGTTCAGTGTCTGATTCTTGCCTGGACAGATCCCTATAAATTTTTTACCAACATTTTTCAGAAATAGTTTGTCATTGCCTCCCTTCTAGGGCTGAAATGAGTGAGTGGCCTAAAAGGACACTTTGTGTCCAAGGCAGGATTAGAACTCCCGGTCTCCCCATTTCTAGTCTGATTCTTTAACCACTATGCTAAACTGGCTCTCAATTTGTGGTTTATCCATGCTTTTTTAAAACAAACTTCATTGGCTTCCTGTATATAACATACAGTTAAAAACTGTAAAGTTGACAGCCCAAGTTCGAGACCCAAGCATCGTGCAGTGGGGTGAGCTTTTGTTACTTGCTCCAGTTCCTGCCCACCTAGCAGTTTGAAAGTATGCAAATGAGAATAGATAAATGGATATCACTTCAGTGGGACAGTAACAATGTTCCATGCACCTCGGCATATAGTCACACTAGCCGTATGATATGGAAATGTCTTTGGACTATTCTGGCTTCCTTGGCCAAGAAAGAGATGAGCAACGCTCCCTAGAGTCGGACACAACTGGAAAGAGGAAACCATTATTTTTATATAACACACTAAGCCAAAATCACTCAAACCTTAGATGTGAAGTCAGTTTGACTTGTCCTTATTTTGCTAAAGCATTCACTCCATTTACTGCATCTCATATGAAAATTCACAAACTAATATAAAAGTGATGGCTACTTCCTTTCAGTTGTGCCTGCTACCTGATTGAATTCTGGGGATTGCAAAGATTTGAATACAGTATTTTTTTATTGTAATCATTAGGAAACTTGTTAGGTCCTGGCCAAATTACACTGTAGAAAAAGAAAGAAAATTCTTATCCAACTTTTGGGCCAATTTGTCATACATGCATACACACAAATTCATATAGAATCCACCACTATATTTGGTTTTTTTTCAAGTGACAGTTTCTTAAATATATTATAATCCATTCTGGCTCCTTGAAATGAATTAAAGTGAAACAGACATTTTCAGTTCATCAACTCAGTTTTACTTGGTTTGTCTGAAAATTAAGAACTGTCAGATAACGTAATCTCTTAACCTGCCTGCACCTGAGAGTCATCAATATGCTGAGAGTCTTCTTCAGTAAGATTGCTTCTGATAAAATTCTGGATCATAAGAAGAAAAATATCCAACAAGCTACAAAAAGATTCATATGTAGCTGTGCCTGCATTTAGAGTCTATCAGTATGCAAAAAAACTCATTTAGATTATTAGTATGCAAAGAACTGCCTAAGATGGGACAATAATATTTTCTCTGTTCTAGTTCCCAGAAATTAATGCCATGATAATGAGGCGATTCACTTATCCAGGCGATATCCAACGTGCCCAGGAATTTGTATTGCAGGTAAGATAAAACCTTCATTAAAGAAAAGTTGGTATACTCTTGTGATTTGACTCTTCCTTGCAGACCAAACATCAATAGATACAATGCTGATTCAAGTACATCTGGTCCTCACTTAACCACAGCTGGGACCTGCAACACTATTGCTAAGTGAGACATCACATAACCACGATGCTTACAGTTTCACTTCCACTGTGGTCGTTAAGCGAAACATCATGAGATGTGACTTGCAGTTTTACTATCAGCTTCTCTGTTGACTCTGCTTACTGGAAATGCAAGGACTGATTATAATTATTTTTCAATATTGTCATCACTTCAAAAAATAACTAAACAGGCCAGTTGTTAAGCAAGGACTACCTCTTTATGTTTTTAATACAGTCAGGAAAAACACATCATGCTGGCATTGACATCCTGTGTGTCTGATTCTATTATTCTAAGAAGAAAGTTACAGCATCTATAGTAAATCCATGTTCATGCTACAGCAATTATTATATAGGCACAGATTAAACTTTTTAATAAAACCATGCTATTTTGCAAGCAAACATATGAGATTCTTGTATAGAACTGTTTGAATGTTCATGAAGAGCTAGTCACGAGATTCCTTATAGAATCTGAATGTTCATGGAGAGCCAATGTGGTGTAGTAATGAAGAATTGGACTAGAAAATAGGCCCAAATTCAAGATCATCTTTAGCCATGAAAATTCATAAGGTGACTTTGAGCCAAATCATTTTCTTTTAGCCCAGTCTTATTCAAATGATTGTTGCATGGAATAAAGGGAAGTGATATATACGTCTCCCATATAAGTTGCCTTTAGCTTCTGCAGAGATGTGTATCTAGCACAGTATTTTTCAAACTTGGCAACTTTATGATGTGTGGACTTCAACTCCCAGAATTCCTCAGCCACCGAACTGGCTGGGGAATTCTAGGAATTGAAATCCACACATCTTAAAGTTGCCAAGTTTGAAAAACACGGATCTAACAGATGATAATACTGAAAGTGGATCAAGTAAATATTGTGTTGGTAATTCATACGTGCTACTCTCAGCAGACTGCCATTTTTTATATTAATGAGTTGGGGGTTGTTTAAGACTCAAGGCCATTTTCATAAATCATGGCATCCATGGTAGTATAAAGCACATTGGAGATAAGGAACATTTCAAAGTAGCTTACGTCTACAATTACCTTCAAGTTGTATGGATCTATAAAATGCAGTTCTAAAAAAGAATCAGCTAAACTTTCACAAAACCGATTGCAAAATAGGAAAGCAGCAGCTTTGTATGGTTCACTAACTCCTTTAATATTTTGGTCTTTTCTTAGAGCGGTGGCATACAGCAAACAACCTACCTCGCCCAGCGTTATTGTCATGAAGCAGTGAAGGAGATTAGCAAGCTTAGACCATCTCCAGAAAGAGATGCCCTTATGCACCTGGCAGAAATTGTCTTGTCTCGAAACAAATGATCCTCTTCTTCCTCCTGGTGATTCTGGCAGCTATTTTACCAGACTGTGCCTAAACTGTTTCAGAACATCTTGGCTTGCTTCTGGTGGAGTTCTCGTTTTTTTAAAAAAAGTTCTAGTTAAGTAACTAGGCTTATGAAATGCTTTTATTGAAGCCTTATGCAACACTGAAACACAATCAATCTGTTAAATTGGTAGCAACACGTGGTACCTATGTTTTTAATGAAGAGGTTTCTTGTTTTATGTGGGCATTTGTTTACACAAATGCCCACATAAGCCTTATGCAACACTGAAACACAATCAATCTGTTAAATTGGTAGCAACACGTGGTACCTATGTTTTTAATGAAGAGGTTTCTTGTTTTATGTGGGCATTTGTTTACACTGTTCACTATTGATGCTGAAGGCCACAAACAATAAAATACAATCAGTGTATCAAATTATTTCTGCCGTTTCTCATGTGTGCTGGGACTATAACCAACTGCTCGAATAATTAAATTGCCTATCAGAATTTAAAAGTACCCAGAAAATTAAAGAATGGTTTATTATAAAAGACTGTACATATTTGTTATAATTAAAACAGGTTATATACAAATCAAGAAGCGTTCCAATTTATAAAGGGGATACAAATAGGTTTTGTGGGTTGCTATTTGATGTCAGAAATAACATGTTAACAATCAGGAAAAGGCAAATAAAGCAATTAGGTTCATTTAAGGAACAACAAGGCAAGAGATCCTTCAATATCGAATGTCACACTACATAATATTATTGTTCTTGTATTTAGTACACTTGCTTGTTCATCATCTAATGCCCATTAGGACAGTGATTGAGCTCAAATAAATCTTTACTACACAAAGCAACATATCCCTTTATAATTTTCCTTGTGTACTGTTGAAAACCAGAACTGTCGTCTGACCTTGTGTTCAAACTGTAGATGTTCACCTGCATACTAAAAGCCAAACAGCTTGCACGACAACCTATGTCTTTTTCTACATAAGCTATTCTTGCTTTTTTTAGTGGAATACCTGACTAGAAACAGCAATGCTATGGAAATATATCCCTGTTCTTAGGCCCACAAGAGCTGTATTCCTAGACACTCGCTGTTTATAGTGATGTGGAAAAATCAGTAGAAATCCCCCAATGATGAAAATTTTACTTTCAGCAGGACAAGAGACCTTCATAGTTTTAAATAGAACAGTCACTTGGGATTGTTTGTTTGCCCACCTTCTGCACCTTCATCTACTTTTGCAACGTGTCATTAAAGCTCCTCTCTTAAGGCAGTTCTACAGCAAAAGGATGCCTGTTAACAGGAAAAGTACCAATCCAGCTGAAATTAAAAAGTGATTAAATGTTTACTTCACCTCTCTTGTGGTACATTAGCATTATAAACTTGACCATCCCTGCCCACACTCTGGTAGCCAAGAAGAGAAACAGATTTCTGCTCTATAATTGTTCCCAGATCACTATAACTTGGTAAGTGACCTGAAAAAGAAAACTACTAGGCATTTTAGCAAGCTAAAACAGCTTTGTTTTATACTTTCTCCCACATTTTTTGATGTGCTTTCTGTTTCCAATAGTAGCTACTCAAAGTCATGGGTAGCACTCTTCAAATATATTTACTAATGAATAAGCCAAATAAGTGCAATCTGAATATATGGTAGGCCTGCAGAAGTGTACATTTCCCTTTATTGGGTGTAACATTTTTGGACTTGCAATTAAACATGATCCTGTTGATAAGGGGGAGATTTGGTAAGTCAACATGCTTCAATATTGCTTTGCAAAGCAAGGCAAGCCAACAAAAGTAATGGACAAGACCTTTGGTTCATTTATGTATTTATGAATGGAAAAGTCAAATGCAATTTTACTCATTAAAAACTCAGGTACAAATTACACACACATCATAAGACCACCCATCTTTGATTCACATGGACATTTTTGATAGAGATTCAAAGGACTCACTGGAAGAGACTCTTAGTGAAAGTACTCCAGTAAAAGATTACAACAAATTGGAAGCATCTTGGATTTTCAGAAAAAAGTGTAATTCAATACATAAGTTTTTATGCATGCTTTTAAACAAATACTATATTTTGAGGATGAGCAATAGTCTAAATAAAGGTAAATGACCAGCATTAATTAAACTTTTCAACCAGATTTAATGTTAGTCTAACAGTTGTTAGTTTATCACGCTGTTGCACTGAGAAAAGAAAACAATGGCACGATTTGAATCTTGAGTCATTAAATAGTATATACCCTACTTCCCCAGAATATTTAGGCTGGTCGTAGAAAACAACGCATAGGTAAATAAGCATAATCAGTAATAAAGAGTTCAGTTATTTGCAAAACAGAATAGCTTTTTCATGGAATGTTCTGTTTCTCCCTCTGAAATGGATCAATCCAATCATTCTGTGGTTGTATGTTTCTGGAAGTGTGTCTTCTGGAATGCAAACTGGTTTGTAGAACTCTTGTTTTGGAAGCAAAAGGTGTCTTGAACACCATGACTCACTTCATGATCCAAAAGAAAGACTTTTGGAAACACAAACCTCACCCAGAATGTTTAGACTGGGCCATTCTGGAGAAAATACCATATTTCTGAGAACCATTCCATTCTGCACAATATTTGTTCATTTTACAAACTCCAGAAACAGATGCTTACAGATGAACATTCAATCATGCCATTTAAACAGTATGGCCTGGAAAGGATTTGCACATTTTAAGGAGCATTAAGACAAGTGTTAATTTACCCTTTGAAGATCATTATGGCATGACTGAAGGCAAGGCCTGACCTGAAAAAAAGAATTAATCTGCATAGTGCATGATTGATTCAACATAATTTCCAGGAAACAGGCCAGTCACTCTGTTGCATACACCTTCATACCAACCGTCATCATTCTTCTTTATCACATAAATGATTGCACCTTCCATGAACGACAGCTCATCATCTTTGTCCTTTGTATAGTCATATATGGCAACAACTAGAAAAATGGAAAGAGAGACACCAATGAATTTTGTCACAAGTTGTTCTAAAATCACTTCTAGGACTCTCTCTCTCTCTCTCTCTCTCTCTCTCTCTCTCTCTCTCTCTCTCTCTCTCTCTCACACACACACACACACACACACACACACACACACACAGAGATCACAGTGGGGAACATACCAATGCTCTTTCTCCTTCTGTTTTCCCAATAAAAGCAACTCTGAGAAGTGAATTGCGCTGAAAGAGATGGACTGACCCAAAGTCACCCAGCTGGGCAGGACTACAACTCTTCACAGTTTCTTAAGTTTCTACGAAATAGTCCTTCACCATATAAAAATTTTATTTTGCAGGATAAGATAAAGTGGGTGTGAGAGTTACAGCCAATATCAGATTGACTGAACAGTTGAAATGAGTATGAAACGAAATGACTATTTCTGCATTCTAGCTTACATTTTGCACGATATCCCAAATCTAATCCTTAACATTTCAAATAAAATGATCCTCAAAAGCTTGCTGGATCAAACATTCAAAGCCTTATGGTGATTTCTGCATTCTGGATACTCCATATCAAACTAAATAAACTAAGTGGGTGAAAGGAAATTCCATGCTTCCTCAAATTTATCCCTGTATAAGGAAAATAAAGCCCAATTGCCACCACCCACAAAATGTGGCATGCTAAAAATTCAATTCTCATTCTTGTTACAGACTTACAATCCCTCAAATGCTGTCACATTACTTTACTTTGGTTATTTATCTCAAACCAAAAGTGCTGCTGTGTCAAAATTGGCTGTAATCTCAAAATGTGAGTGAGCAGTGTACGATTTATTTGAAAAAATAAATATTTGTTACAAGAAGAGTGCAGATGCATTACTTCCATTGCATGCCAATTAAGAAGTAGGGAAATTGGGAAAGGAGTCCGGCAAGGCTGTATTCTGTCGCCCTGCCTATTTAACTTATATGCAGAGCACATCATAAGAAAGGCAGGGCTAGATGAATCAAAAGTTGGAATTAAGATTGTCGGGAGAAATATCAACAACCTAAGATATGCAGATGATACCACTCTAATGGCAGAAAGTGAAGAGGAACTAAAGAGCCTCTTGATGCGGGTGAAGAAGGAGAGTGCAAAAGTTGGCTTAAAACTCAACATTAAGAAAACCAAGATCATGGCATCCGACCCTCTCTATTCCTGGCAAATAGATAGGGAAGAAATGGAGGTAGTGACAGATTTTATCTTTCTGGGCTCCAAGATCACCACAGATGGGGACTGCAGCCAAGAAATTAAAAGACACTTGCTCCTGGGGAGGAAAGCTATGGCAAATCTAGACAGCATACTAAAAAACAGAGACAACAAAAGTATGTATAGTCAAGGCCTTGGTTTTCCCAGTTGCAATGTATGGCTGTGAAAGTTGAACCATAAGAAAGGCTGTGCGGAAATGGACAGGCTTACAATGGTTTTGAAAGACAAATGTGGATCAGTTTACTCCGAAACCTGGGATAAATTTTACCGCTAGAGAGATTCGAGGAGGATGGTTGGAATTAAAGACTAGCGTTAAGATAGAAATATATGTTATTTTAGAATAAGTACCGCATATAAAACTTAGATGTATATTCAGAGATGAAGAACCGACTGTAAAATGTGGAATAATTTGATAAGAATCAAATGTAAAATGTGGAATAATTTGATAAGATACTGGAATGTCATGTTATATCCAATGTTTTTTTTAATTGTATTATAAATAAAATTTTGAAAAAAAGAAAAGAAAGGCTGAGTGCCAAAGAATTGAGGCCTTTGAACTATGGTGCTGGAGAAGACTCCTGCGAATCCCCTGGACTGCAAGGTGATCAAACCGGTCAGTCCTAGAGGAGAGCAACCCTAACTGCTCTTTTAGAAGGCCAGATCCTGAAGTTGAAACTCAAGAACTTTGGCCACCTAATGAGAAGGAAGGACTCACTGGAGAAGAGCCTGATGCTGGGAAAGATCGAGGGCAATAGAAGAAGGGGGCGACAGAGAATGAGGTGGCTGGATGGAGTCACTGAAGCAGTAGGCGTGAGCTTAAATGGACTCCAGAAGATGGTAGAGGACAGGAAGGCTTGGAAGAACATTGTCCATGGGGTCGCGATGGGTCGGACACAACTTCGCAACTAACAATAACAAATCCCATCACATTTAGAGGACACCATGTTGAGAAGGCTGTGCTGAACTGAAAATAAAACATTTTATGACTTAATATAAAGTACACAGCAGCTAATAACAGAGGAACATATCAACTATCAATTTGTGGATACTTAGCACCACTTCTGTTAGAGAGGAAGGATGTTCAGATATCACAGGTTAATCATAGGAAAACCTTTATACAACTGGTGGAAATGAAGTTGAAAAACAAGGATAGAATCCAATATAGGTTTATA